TTCTCTCCGCCCGGCCGCGGCGGCTCTGGCCGGGCGGCTGGAACCGGTTTGGGGGGAAGGAGAGGGGAAGGGAGAGGCTCGGTCGTCAGCAGGTTCCCGCACACCACAACGCCGCCCTCGCCTCGCCGGGTCCCGTTCCTCCCCCCACCCTCTTCATCGTCCTCAGTTTCTTCCTCCTGAGCTTGACTCTTGCGGGAAGGGGACAGCTGCCTGGCAGGAGGGGGGGGAAGAGAGAGAGCACCCCGCCATCATCATCATCATCAATCATCCCATCCTCCGACACCTTTATCTTGGGCAGGTTAGTCTTAGGTACGAAGCTCGTGATGGGGATTGGGGTGGGGGTGAAACGTGGGCGGCCGGAGCGGGGTCGTGTGTGTGTGTTTGTGTGTGTGTGTGTTGTGAGGGGTGGGGGAGAGAGAGAGGATAGCTGACGAGCGAGGCTTTCCTTTGTGCGTCTGCCCAGCGCCTGCTTTGTCACTTCGTTGGCGGCGGTGTGGGATGGCAGGCGGTGGCGGCGGCGGCTTAATCGGGAATAATCCTAATCCGCCTCCCTCCCTTCCGCCCTGTCGTCGTGGCCCCCGGTGGGATTCGAACCCTCTCCCGGCATTCGCCGCTGCCGAGTGGGCGACGTCCGCTTTGGCGGTGCTTCCTCTCTCTCTCTCTCTCTCTCTCACACACACACACACACACACACACACAGAGAGAGAGAGAGAGAGAGAGAGAGAGAGAGAGAGTCCCCCTCACCAAGCTCTGCACTAGATTGGCCTCAAAAGTGGCCGGGGGAGTGAGACAGTTTGTTGTTGTCTGGCTGCAGCAAAAAGGCTGTCTTCTTGACCTCGGGAGCTCTCTCTCTCTCTCTCTCTCTCTCTCTGTGTGTGTGTGTGTGTATCTGTGTGTATCTGTGTGTGTGTGTGTGGGGGGGTTTAAGCAGAGAGGGACGCTGGCTTCTGTCGGGTTAGAGATCGCCTGTGTCTTATTTAGGTCAGTAGGATCTGCTGCACTTGAGTGGAAGTGACAGCACTGCAGTCTCTTTCCCCAGCTCTGGGACCCACTGCAAGGCACCAGCGTGGATTGTACTGCTTCTGTATGGGCCCTGCTCTCAAGCAAATTGGGGTTATATTTTGTTACTTTTTTTTTAAAGAATCTTCCTCTGCTCAAAAAGTTCCTGTTAATTTTGATCTGGCAGCAGCCTTGCAGGGTAAGTGACGGGAACTGAACCCAAGGTCACCAATGCAGTGGGGTGGGTATCTGAGCCTCTGTGTTATCAAGTCGCTTCTGATTTACAGTGTCTAATGCGGCTTCACGGGATGTAAGATAGTTAGGGAGTGGTTTCATCACTGCAACTCCTCAGTAAGTTTACCTGGCTGAACGGATTTGAACTCAGGTCTCCTGAGTCCCACTCCACCACTTCATCCACTACAGCACACTAGCTGTCCGTTATTAAATGGGGGATTTGAATCTGAGTCTCCCTGCTCCAAATGTGTCTAGTATGCCAAACAGGATTTACCCTTACTAGATACAACAACAACAAAAAATGCTTTAAGTTTATTCTGCAAGATTCTCTTGATTTCTAGCATGAATTCTACTTGCAAAAAGGGCCTCCAGGATTTCTGTGATTTTTACAGCTGTCTGAAATGAGACATTTCAGGAGACACAGCGTGCTGTGTGGAATAAGGAATATTGCACCTGCTGAGTAGTAGGAGAATGTGTTCAACAAACAGGGACAGAACACCCTGTCTTCTTTTGCATGTTGCATTTTCTTAAATTGTGCAAAAGTAAATGAACACCTGGCACAGCCCACCAAAGCGAATGCAAAATAACTAGGCATTTCACTGGTCTTCCAAGAACTTTCATTCAAATGGAAGTGAAATTCTCCTGTCTTTTTTCTTTCTTTCTCTCTTTATGCCTTTACCTAATTTTTCTGCTTAGTGGAGGTAATGGCTGAAAGTGCTCTCTTTCCAAATATATATAAATCCTACATTATCTCAAAGACAGTACCCTTCCCTGGCTCAAGAGCGTAATTTTTGGTCGAGTTTCTGGGGGTGGGGTGCAGATCTAATTTTATTCTTGTCTGTATTTCTGACCACAAGTGAAACACAAGATTGAATAGTTTCTGTGCTAAAATAATTCCCAACACACAAACAAATCAAAGTCTTGGTATCTGGAAAAAGCTGCTTGATCTGGGAGTTTTGTGTGGACAGATTTATTATTATTATTTGCAAATATTCATCCATGCAAGTCTCAGGGGATGAAACCCAGGCACAGATTGACAGCCTCAGTGGGAATGATCTCCTTTCTGGTGTGCTGAACAGCACTTTCAGCAATTTGTTCAGTTTTTAACATAGCAGCTCCTTTTTCCACCGCAGCTTTACCCATTCTTATAAGGAAAGTACTGATTAATTAATGATAATCTTCCTTGATCTGGCCAGTGGTCTGCCCTATGAAGAAAGAAGGGGAAAGTTGGGAGGGTGAGAGTGCTGATTTGCTTCCTTGTCCTCCTTTGCCCCTGCACTGCACAACATGCAGGGAAGGTTGCCAAGTTCTCATAAGAATCTGTCATAAAGCTGGGGAGAAGCCAGCCAAAGAGCAAAGGGCTGTAGCAAGGGCTTTTTAATTATGTTTGCTGTTGATCACTGCAGACTCTGGTAGGGAAGAAATGTGTTAAAGGTCTTACTCCATTATGTAATGTATGTTATGATAAAGAGTTCTGTGTTGCTGCAGCCTGCTGATAGAAACTCTTGTCTATCTAGGAAAGAGTGTGACTGTAGTGAAGCTCAGTAAGTTGGTGCTTGCAGTATAAATGTCAGGCTCTTTTGAATCTTGCGTGTCCTTAAATATGCAAGGACAAAAGGGGAACTCTTTGGAAAAATGGCATTTTTTTGCAAAATTTGTAAAGTTGTCTGATATATGAATTTCATAGAGTAGGTTGATGTGGTGCTTTCCGTGTACTGCAATGATAATGCTACTGTACTGTGTGGAGACAGTAAGTAATTGCTTTTAATGTTACAGTGCTATAGACATAGCCCAAAGTTATATCCATAATGATTCATTTCATTTTACTAGTGAGTAGATAATTAGAGTAGAGTGGGGTCCGCAGCCTGGGGGTACACCTGGACCCGACGCTCACCATGGAAGCGCAGGTGGCGTCGGTAGTCTGCACCGCCTTCTTCCACCTTTGGCGGATTGCCCGGCTGCGACCCTACCTTGACCCAGGGGCGCTCACTACCTTGGTACATGCGCTCGTAATCTCAAGATTAGACCACTGTAACGCGCTCTACGTGGGGCTACCTTTGAGGCTGATGCGGAAACTTCAAGTGGTGCAGAATGCAGCGGCCAGACTCCTTACTGGAGTGAGAAAACACCAGCATATTTCTCCTGTTCTGGCCAAACTGCACTGGCTGCCCATCCGTTTCCGCACTGATTTCAAAGTTTTAATGCTTACCTATAAGGCCCTAAACGGTTTAGGACCTCGATACTTGGCGGAGTGCCTGCTCCCACCAAGATCTACTTGGATCACCCGTGTGAGTCAGGAGGTGAGGCTGAGGAGCCTAACACCGAGGGAGCCCCGGAAGAAAAAGACAGAAAATCGGGCCTTCTCGGTGGTGGCTCCTCGCCTCTGGAATAACCTTCCTCCAGAGATTCGTACGGCCCCCATGCTGGGTACTTATTATTTATTCTATTTTTGCATTGCGTTTGTTACTGATTGTTTTGTAATGTTCTTGTGTTATTTTAATGTATATATGTTGTATTGGAAACTGCCCAGAGTGGTAGAATATACCAGATGGGTGGGATATAAATCGAATAAATAAAATAAAATAAAAATTGTTGTCTGTTTGAAGCATTTATGCCCCACTTTTCAGCATAGGCTCCGGGACAGATGGAAGTGAGGGAGGAATTTGTTTTCATTCCTCCAGTGCCACATATGTATGACAACATGGCATTAGAAAATTCAGCTTAAAACAAAGAAATAATTTTTTCTATCCACTAGTTTGCATTTAGACAGGTAATTTGGAAGGTCTTGGATTCTTTGCCCAGAACTTGTTTTCGAATTCTCTTGGGAGGCTTGCTGCCTAATTCATGAGCTCCATGCAGTGTTTCTGTAAAAGGTGTGCAGCTTGCTGTGAAACTATCTTAAAGCTTCATTATTATAGGAGGTTTTGTTGTCTTTAACAAACCACAACTTAGTCAGGTACCCACTATATTGGTGATTGTTCCAGGTACTGTTGTTGCTCTAGTCTAAAGAATTTTGTGAAAAGCTTGTAGGGTGTGGAACTTCATCTTTGACTCACTTCCAACACTCCATAATGGCCAATGCTGTAGTTAAATAATCTCTGCAATCTTTTAGGTGACCAGTGGCCAAAGACAAATCTATAGCCCACTATGCTTGGCCTTGACTTTTCTGCCACAGTGCTGCTTCCCTAGTCTACTACTTTCATTCCGGGCTGTCATATTTTCTGTCAGTTTTTTTTCTGTGAAGACCAGAATATAAAACATACAGTAATTTTCAATGTTATTGATGGAAAGCATTAAGTTATAGACCCATTAACAGCTGCACAAATGACAGTGTCTTTAGAGGCTCAAATATTAAATATGATAAAATGTTTATATTTTGTTCACTTTAACAAAGCAATAAGAAATAATTTATAGATGCTCTTTCCTAAAGATTTTTCACTATTAAAAAAAGGAGGATAGGGCACAATCCAGATGGTTGCATGAGGATAGGGCACAATCCAGATGGTTGCATGTTCAAAATATTTCATTGAAATCAACAGGATTTAATCGATTTTAAATGTGACTGGTTCTTACCCATTGTTAGGATGTTCAGTACTCTCTGCTTATGATTTTTTTAAACTACAGTGTTGGTAGCACATAAGTCTTCTGGATAGTGTCACTAAGATAGTGACCAGAAATTCCTTGGGGAGAGGGACAGTTTTTTGAGTTATGCAGGCAGTTGTGATGATGTCCCTGAAATGGTCAAAGACTTCCAATCTTAGATTGGGTAACACATTTAGAAGACTTAACTTTTTTTTTCTTGAACTGAATTACTGACAAGTAAATAAGATTTGGCTATAATGTGCTATAACATGAGGTCTAGGTAAGAATTATAATATCATCATTTGGAATGTTCGCATCCTAATATTTTGCTTATAAACTACCACCTGCGCAGTATCTATGAGTAGCTGAGAGATAATTTACCATTGTGAATGAAAGATATGTTTTTGGTCTGATTTGTCTTATAGTTAATCATATACAGTATAATGCACTGACATTTTCCAGTAAAATTCAGTACTCCTCATACTGAAAATGCAAGTTATGTGCTGCATGCTTGCCTGTACACTTCCATGAGAACACACAATGATAGTTTCACAGCTTACCATCATACGTGCACTGACCATCCATGTCAGCCACCTGTTTGTCAGTCTCATGAAAGATGTTGCAGTACCTGCATCAATGTGTACACAAAAAATTACAGATTGTACAGCTGGAAAGAGTCCACATTGGTCATTGAGCCCAGCTCCTTACATAATTGGAAATTTACAACTGAACTATATCTCCTGGATGGTACTGCTGAGACACTCTACTATTTCATTCACCTTTTTGGTGCCATATCACCCTAAAGGCTCATTTTCAGCTTGTAACCTACTGAGACTCCAACTTGTTTTCAGGTACTACTGCCAAGCCAGGTGCTAGTCACTCTGTATTTGTGCACTTAAATTTTTTTCTGACATACTGTGGAACTTTGCATTTTTTTTTCTTTGTTGAAGTTCATTTAGCTTGCTTTAGTCCAGTTTTCAAATCCAGTTCTTAAGATCATGTTGCCTCCTCATTATGCTTTTTGAAGTATAAGGTTCCCGTCCCAGTTTAGCATTATCTGCAAATTAGATGAGCATCAAGCTCCTTTGGTCAAGTAAAAGTCACACATACGGCTTCCCCATGCAAGAAGGAATCTTGATTCTGATACATTTTACACAACTGTTGAACTTCCAGCTTGGGGGTGGAGGGTAGCATGTCAGATGTGCCTATTAGGGGAAATGCTGGCTCATATAAATATGCACTTTCCTGCTATGATAGAAATTACCATATTTTTCGCTCCATAAGATGCACCTCTCCATAAGACGCACCTCATTTTTAGGGGAGGAAAACGGAAAAATATTCTGGCAATTTTGGCCCACTGTGCCCACAGGGGTGGAGGTGGGGGGAGCCTCCAAAGGGTCCGAGAGTGCCTTCCAGGACCCTTTGGAGGCTCCCTCCAACCCCCCCAGAGCCAGCGGGGTGAAATTGCGACCTTCCAGGACCCTTCTGAGGCTTGGAAAGGTTCTGGAAGGTCACAATATCGTCCCCGCTAGCCCTACAGGGGGTGGGGAGAGCCTCCAAAGGGTCCTGGAAGGCACTCTCGGACCCTTTGGAGGCTTCCCCTGCCCCCCCGCGAGGCCAGCAGGGGTGAAATCACCAGCTTCCAGGATCCTTCTGCGACTTTCCAAGCCTCAGAAGGGTCCTGAAAGGTCGTGGTTTTGCCCCCACTGGCCCCACGGGGGGGAGCCTCCACAGGGTCCTGGAAGGCACTCTCGGACCCTTTGGAGGCTTCCCCTGCCCCCCCGCGAGGCCAGCAGGGGTGAAATCACCAGCTTCCAGGATCCTTCTGCGACTTTCCAAGCCTCAGAAGGGTCCTGGAAGGTCACAATTTCACCCCCGCTGGCCCCGTGGGGGTGGGTGGGTGTAGCCTCCGAAAGGTCCTGGAAGGCACTCTTGGACCCTTCCGAGGCTCCCCCCACTGGGCCCTGGGGAGCGCTGTTTTACAGTATTCTCTCCATAAGACGCAGACACTTTCCCCAACTTTTTTTGGGGGGGGAGTGCGTCTTCTAGAGTGAAAAATACGGCATGTAATTTTCCCACCAAGGTGACTAGTGAGGCAATGATATTTTAGTGATATTAGCCACTAGGTTCTTAATAATGCTAATCAGTTGCTTCCATGGTTATCTAGAGTGGGGCCATTAGACCCATTTCAGGCTAGTTTCTGGTTCACATAATAGCCGTTGTTCTCATGAATAGCCTCTGCTTGGAGATGGATAAAGATAACATGCTCCTATTGTTCAGAAAATGATACTAGGGGGCTGTTTCTTCACTCCATGGTCTTTGGCTTATGAGTTTGCCTCAAGGTGTCATTTTGTCACTTGTACTTCATGACATCTCTGTGAAGCAACTGGGAGGAGTACTGCAGATATTTCGGTTGAAGTCTGTTGATGACACTTAGTTCCATCTCTCATTTCTAATTATTAAGTCCACTGAGGTAGTAGAAATTCTAAACTAGTGTCCAACAGCTGTTCTGAATAAAATAAAATTAAATTCAGACAAGGTTGATTGGGAAGTCTTTTGAACTTGAAGGAGAGATCCTGTCTTTTCTGGATTGGATTACACTCCCCTTGAAGAAGCAAAGTACACCGTTTACGGGTTTTTCTGGATCCAGTGCTGTCATAGGCTGCCTCGATCGGTGGCAGAAGCTAAGGAGTGCTTTCTGCATGCTTTGGTTGGTTTGCTAACTCAACCCTGTCTGGGACACTCAGGGGTTACATCCATGCTGTCATCTATTGTGTTTTGTAAAAACAAATTTGGAAGGTGCAGTTGGTCCGAAACGTAGCCACCAGGAAGTTACATGGGCATATAAAAGATCTCACAACAGTTGTGTGTGTTATCATTCTGGTTTAGGGTTGTCTTAAGATGCCAATTGTTATGTACCATTAAGTCATTTCTGACTTAGAGTAAACCCTATAGTTCTTTTCAGTTCTTGGAGACCAAAGGCCATGAGTTTATTGACTCAATTGATCTCATATAGGTGGTCCTCTTTTCCAGCTGCCTTCTGCTTTTTGTAGTATTACTGTCTTTTCCAATGAATCTTAATCTTCCCATGATATATCCCAAGTATGATGGCCTAAGTGTAGTTGAGAGCTCAGGCTTTATTTATTCCAAACCTACTTATCTTTCCAGCAGTTCATAACATCTGTAAAACTGTCTTTCCACATCACATTTTGAGTGAATCAATTTTTTCTCATCTTTCTTCATTTTCTACTTTCTCAGCCATACATGATGATTGGGAATACCACAGTAAGGATGATCTTGGCCTTGTTCTCCAAGCATATTTACTTTTGACAATATTTTCATGTTCCTCCATAGATGTGCTTCCAAGTATTCTTATTCTACTAATTTCTTGGCTGCAGTCTTCATCTGCATTGATGATTGAACTGAGGCACACATAATCTGTAATTCTTCATTTTCATCATTCCAATTTTGTGGTCTTTTTGTGATCATGATTTTTGTCATCTTAATGTTCAGCTGCTGTCTTGCTTTTGCATTTTCTTCTTTAATTTCCTCAGTAGTTGTTTCAAGTTATTGCTGCTCTATACCAGTACTATAGTATCATGTGCATTTCTTACATTACTTGTATTTTATCCACCAATTTGAACTCCTTTTCCAGTCCTGTACATTGTTCAGTTGATGGGAAAGTAAATATATCTTTCTCTGACATCTTTGCCTATGGAAACCATTCTCTTTCTTGTATCTTCTGTCTTTATAGTAGCCTCTTATCCAAAATATAGTTGAAAGCTTTCCTGTATTCTATAAAGCAGAGAGTGGTTTTCTTCTAAAAATTTTTGATACACTGTGGTAGTATATATTTACAATATGATATCGTGGGTGCATTTTTCTGAATCCAACTTAAAAGTCTGGCATTTTTACTCCATTTCTCACTCCCTTTGAGACATTTAAAGATACAGATTGCCTGCTACTAGGTTACCCAAAGTCTTCCTATGCCTATGTGAACCCACCTTAGCCCTAAGATTGGTGTTTTGAAGAACCTGGTTTTTGGGCTGCCATGAGTTGACATTGGCCTGTTTTCAACAGTAGCTCTTAAGAGAAAGCTGACAGGTCTGCTATTATCTCTAGAGGGCAATAGAAAGCATTTGTTGTTATTTTGCAAGTGATTCTGTATGGTTTAAAATTCATATTGTAAATTGTTTATTTGCAAATTAAATACCTTGAAAAAGTGGATACAGTATTAATGAATTAAGTAAGGGCATCAGTTATTAAGGCATATGCTTAATTAATGTAGTCTTTCCAATACATATTTTCTCTCCTTTTCACTGTAGGCTACAGCAGCTATTGAACATCATTCGCAAACATGACACTTTGTCAGGTTACCTTTGAAATAAGAGGAACATCGCCACCAGGTACAATTTTTTCCTTCTTTCATGGGTCTATTACAGCAAAAGAGGATGGATGTATAGTGATTTAGACATCTTCAGGCCCCTGTTTGAGATCCTTCAACCAGCATGGCCACTGAGGGCGTTCATAGCCCCCACATCTAGAGGGCACCAGGGTGTGGAAAGGCAAACAGTGCACCCTGCTACTGGGATATTTGGAGATACATTATATCAGTTTTTTTCCATTTATGAAACTGCCTTGAATCTTGTAAAGACTCACAACCCTTCCCTTCTGTTCATACATAATCAATAAAAACTCCCTAAATATCACTGAAAATACTCTTGTCAAACCCTTTAAAAATTACAACCCCCTTTTTTTAAAGAAATGACACTGTGGAGCCCTTTCCCGTCCCAGAATCTTTGAGAACGTTTCCTGCCAGCTGAACTGATTTTGCCTTGCTGTCACAGCAGCTGTGTTATCCACTGTTATCCTTCTCCTCTGCCAGGCAACATCCTCAGAAATATTGCATAACAGTCCTGATCTATGCCAAGGAGTGGGTAAATTGTTGGTGTCTCACATAACAGGCCATCAGCTGTTTTAGCCCAGTAATATGATCTATATAAACACTTAGAAAACTATCAACATATGAATGCATGGCAGATGCATAACCTCAGGGGCACACCGATCTCTTACTCCCTCTTGTGGACCTATACAGTGCCATCTGGAAGGCACCACTTCCCAAGTTCAGAATACAAATTAGAGGTTTCATCTTCTGTCACAGATGCTTTCTTACTCAAGAAATGACTCTCATTTTGACTGCCTAGTTAACTTGCTGTTAAGTATGTAAAATTTTATTGGGAAGTATCTATTAACAGACATTTACACATGGAGGGCTATTCCTAGGGAGTTTTAGGGTCCCATTGCTGAACATCACACTGGGCTTATGGATGGAATGAAACAACACAAAACATTTTACTTTTGGTGTACCCTATCTTTGTGGGCTTTGGCTGCACATATACCGCTACTTTTGCAGTATTATATGCAGTCTAAATCTGATGAAGCTGTTTCAGCTCTGGGTCAGTATCTAGTGTCAGTAATGAATGAAAGTGAATAAACTGAAACTTAATCCAGAGAAGACAAAGATGTTCTTGGTCAGTTGGAAAGCAGATCAAAGCACAGGAATGTAGCCTGTGCTGGAAGGGGCTACACTCCCTCTGAAAACACGGGTGTGCAGCATGGGGGTACTTCTGGATGCGTCTCTGAATCTGGATGCCCAGGTTTTGGCGGTGGCCAGGCGTGTATTTGAAGAAGTAAAACAAGGGTGCTAACTGCATCCGTTTTTGGAAAGATCGGATCTGGCCATGGTGACACATGCCCTAGTTACATTCAGGCTGGATTACTACAATACACTCTACATGGGGCTGCCTATGTAAAATAGCAGGAAACTTCAGTGGGTCCAAAACGCAGCAGCCGGGTTGCTTACTTGCCTTGAGTCCTTTGTAAGGAGAAAGATGAGGTAAAAATATCTTAAATAAATATTTATAGAATGACAGGTTTCAAAATAGTGTGGTTCCTGAGCAGGAAAACTCAGGCAATATTGAAAAGTGTTACTGTTTATTTTTAACATTTTTCCCCCTAGGAGAGGTTTTTGCCATTTGTGGAAGCTGCAACGCTCTGGGAAACTGGAATCCTCAAGGTGCAGTAATTCTCCAGCCAGAGGATGAGGCTGGCGATGTGTAAGTGTCTTTCAGTGATACACACAGACATTTAAATCTCTGCAGGCAAACTGGATAGGGCTAACTATACAATGCTTTGTGCTGTTACCTTGTTTAACGCCTTAATATTTGAGCCCCACATTTTAAAATACAAATGTTAGTATTGAAACATGAGGCTAATTATTGCTTACTAGATCTTTGTGCGCTTGCACTCTTCTTAAGCACGTGCTTTGCTTGTATTTACATTTAGTTGCTTGTAATATAGTATTTCAGAATAAAATTGTCTGCTCATGAAAGAGTTACTAAAAGAAATGTGCACACCTTGATCCAGCAAGGGGCACTCTGTGTGTAGAAACAATATTTACATGTCCAGAAGATTAGTAGGATTGTGAGCTGGGGCATGGGGTTGAAATAGAATTATTTTTTAAATACATTGTGTTTACAGCTTTGTCCTTCATTTAGCATTCTGAGATAGTACCAGTAGCCTCCCCCAGGTGGTAAAGTGGGTAGAAATCAGTAGAGATGCACTGATATACAGTAACTATTTCATCCAGTAATACATTGTGACTCCTTTGGAAAGGTGCTTTTGGATAAGCAGTAGTGTTTCCCTGCTGGAGTCACTGACTATCATAATGGCAAGAGTTATGGTTTAGAAACCTGTACTCTGCACATGTAAGAGGCCTCTTGTTAACTTTTTTTACTTTAACAGCAGCTATAGCCTGCAGTTGTTACAGCAGAAACTGTCCTTTGAAATGAGAATTAGGGAGGCAAATGTGAAAGAGCTGTGTGTGTGTGTGAGAGAGAGAGTGTGAGTGAGAGAGAGAGAGAGAGAGAGAGAGAGAATGCGCATCCAATAACTTTTAAATAAATGGGTAGGGGAAGGAATGGCGGTGGGAGTAGAACATGCCCATGTAGGAGAAGAGAGGGTTAGATATCTTACATCTATCCCCTCTTCTAGTCCTACCCCCAACCAGATGGTATCAGGTGACCATATCAGTAAACCCTTGAGCCACACGGAGCTGTTGATGAGTGGCAGATCAGTACAAAAGAAGACTGCTCTCATCCATGATGTAATTCTGGATGAGGGTACTGACCTGGCATGCATTACTGAGACCTGGGCGGGAGAGGAGGGTGGTGTTCCCCTCTCCCAGCTGTGTCCGCCTGGTTACTCTGTCCAGCATCAGTGTCGCTCGGAGGGTCGGGGAGGGGGAGTTGCTATAGTCTACAGGAGTTCTATCTCCTTGACTAGGCTTCCTATCCCTTTGAGAGGAGGTCTTGAGGGGCTGTATTGTGTGTTGGGCTCACGAGACAGATTAGGGATTCTGTTGGTGTACCGCCCACCCTGCTGCGTACCAACAGTCTCTCTACCTGAGCTGATGGAGGTAGTCTCGGACCTGGTGTTGAGGACTCCCAGGCTGTTGGTGCTGGGGGACCTCAACATTCATGCCGAGGCTGCCTTGACTGGGGCGGCTCAGGACTTCATGGCTGCCATGACAACCATGGGGCTGTCTCAATGTGTCATCGGCCCGGCACATGAGAAGGGCCATACCTTGGATCTGGTTTTCTCAACAGGACTGGAAGATGGTGGCCTGGATGTGGAGGGGCTGGTTGTGATCCCATTGTCACGGTCAGACCACTTCCTGGTCAAGTTTAGTCTGTTAGCTTCTTCTCCCCTCTGCAAGGGTGGGGGATCTATTAAGATGATCCACCCTTGGGGACTAATGGATCCGAATGCTTTCCTAAATGCTCTGGGAGATTATCTGTCTGATATGGTTGGCGCTCCTGTCCAAGCTGAGGTCACCCTATCAAATAGGGAGATGTCCCGGGTGCTTGACATGATTGCACCTAGCTGCCCTCTCCCTGCATGCAAAAAAATATATTAAAAAATTAAAAATTAAAAAAAAGAACTCAGACAGCTCCTTGGTATACATCTGAACTGCGGTTGATGAAGCAAGAGGGGAGCGCAGGTGGAGGAAATCCCACTGGGAGTCTGATTTAACATGACTTAGAGCCCATTGGGCCTATTTCATGGCAACACAGCTGGCGAAACAGCAATACAGTGGTGCTCTGCTTGACGATTACTCTGTTAGATGATGAAATCGCTTGACGATGAGCTTTTTGCGATCACTATAGCGATCGCAAAACTATGATTCTAATGGGTTTTTTTCGTTTTACGACGATCAGTTCCCTGCTTCGGGAACCGATTTTTCGCTTCACGATGATTAAAAACAGCTGATCGGAGGGTTTTCAAAATGGCTCCCCGCTGTTTTCGGGACCTATTTCCAGAAGACAGCGATGCAAAATGGCTTCCCCTATGGAGGATCTTCGCTGGACGAGCAGGTATTTCCCCCATTGGAACACATTGACCGGTTTTCAATGCATTTCAATGGTTTTTTTTTCCGCTTGACAACGATTTCACTGTACAGCAATTTTAACGGAATGCATTATTGTCGTCAAGTGGGGCACCAGTGTGTTTCTCCAGCCATATTGCTTCCTCAGAATGTTGTCCAGCAGAGCTGTTTTGGGTGGTCCGGGATCTTCTTCAACCGGGAAATCCGGTGGAAGCCCAGGACTGCTCATCAGCTTGCTGTGATGAGTTTGCCATTCATTTTGAGGGGGAAATTGCTCAGATTTGCAGTGGGATGGACTCCACCGTTACTGCAGAATCACAAGTTGTGTCCAGTGTACTGTGCTTAGGTCAAGTATTAATGGATGAGTTTCAGTTGTTGAGACCTGAGGATGTGGACAGGGTGCTTGGATCTGTCCATTCTACCACCACTCCGCTTGGCCTTTGCCCATCTTGGCTAATTGGAAGATCTGCCAGGGGGTTCGCACCTGGGTCCAGAAGGCTGTGAACGCCTCTTTGAGAGAGGGAGTGGTCCCTACCACCTTGAAAGAGGCGGTAATTCGGCCACTCCTAAAAAAAGCCTAACCTGGACCCAAGGCTGGTGGCTAACTACCGACCAGTAGCGAACCTCCCTTATTTGGGCAAAGTGTTGGAGCAGGTTGTGGCCGGGCAACTCCAGGTGCTGCTGGATGAAACGGATTTTCTGGATCCATTTCAATCGGGTTTCAAGCTTAGTTTTGGTATGAAGACTGCCTTGGTCGCCCTGTACAATGACCTTTGCCGGGAGAGAGACAGGGGGAGTGTGACCCTGTTGATACTCCTGGACCTCTCAGTGGCTTTTGACCCCATCGACCATGGTGTCCTTCTGGATAGACTGGCTGGGTTGGGAGTTTGGGGCACTGCTTTATGGTGGTTCCACTCCTTTTTGGCTGACCGTGTCCAGAGGGTGGTTATGGGGGGGAAAGTTGCTCTGTCCCATGGTGTTTATGTCATGGGGTTCCTCAGGGCTCGATACTGTCCCCCATGCTGTTTAACATCTACATGAAACCGCTGGGAGAAGTCATCAAGAAGATTGGGCTGAGGAGTCAGCAGTATGCTGACGA